AGGAATGTGTTTCTTCCTGGTTCAGCAGTTCCACTGCTGGATTAAATATTCCGCCTGAGGACGACCGCTTGTGTTGCGATCGAAATGTCGTGATATATTTTATTTTATTTTTCTACCTACGTGACTTTTCCGAAAGAACCAAAGAGTATAAATTGAATTACATCGTATATTTCACGACTGCATATTAACAATAGTATGCCAATGTTACATTTTACACGACGTCACTCCCGTACTTAACACAGTGAACACAGCAAAAGCGTCAGTGTTTAATTGTCTTCATTTCCACTGGAGGGACACCAACGCGCTGTTGCGCACTATTAATATAAACATTTACATATATTATTATTATTAAATAATGCTGCAACGTTTCTCTCTGCATTTAAATATCGAGGTGCAACGTCTAGTGTTAAGCAAAACAACAAGCATCGCTTTGAATGCACACATTACGGTTGCAATTAAAATACTCAAAATAATCAACACCCTCGAATGTAGTAACATTTAGTGGGAATTAGCGAAAAAAGAAGTGTGCAGTGCAACATCTGTCAGGCTTGGTGTGCACGAGAGAAATGCTGTAGAAGTGAGAAAACACGCGGATCACTGTCACAAAAATATATATTTTTTGTTCCTGGCTAGTAAGTGTTTTATTCTAATTGCTTATGCTTCAAAAGTACAGAAAATGGCTATTATTCCCCACAAACTTTGCTTTTGTGACCAGGACAGTGATATTTTGAAATGTACCTATTTTCAATGAGAAAACGTGCGCATTTGTGTCATTCCTTCACGTAAAGTCCTGGTCACAAAAGTAAAGTTTGTGGGGAATAATAGCCATGTTCTATACTTTTGAGGCATAAGCGATTAGAAAATAACACTTACTACCCAGGAACAAAAATCGTGTAACATTCTTAAGTTTTTTTCGGTAAAGTCACGTAGGTAAAAAAATATTAATAATTAAATAATAATAAATAAAAACAACTAACTTAATTTTTAATAAAAAAATCATTTATTTTTATTTTATTTTCTTATCATTATTTTTTGCCTACGTGACTTTACCGGAAAAAAACCTAAGAGTATGAATCCTTGCAGTCACAAAAGCTTCAAATCTAGAATCGTGTAACATATGTAATGGGTTCCGGAGACACTTGTAGAGGTAACTTCTTTAATTCCTGCACCACCTCGCTCGGGACACTGAATCGACGGATGCTCGTGAGCTGATTGTGACGACACGGGGCCTCGGCTGATGCAAAACTCCATGAGTCCACGCGACTGGAAACGCGAATTTGTGTGTGTCTGCGTGTGTGCGCGCAGCTAACAGCACTTGCCGCTACAGTCTGTTTAAGGCTATACGGGGGATCTTTGCAGCTAGAGCCGAGGTAGCGACACTTTTTTTTGGAGTGGACTAGAGTGTCCCTCGGAAAATAAGTGTACAACGGGCGTAGTCGTGGGAGCAGCGTGCAATAAAATAATTGTTGTTGATGCACTGCCCTCTGCCTCCCCACATCATAAAGAAATCGCATCATCAAAATTGCTCCTGGAGTCAGAAGTGGTTATTGTCCAAGTGAGTCTGGTGGTACGAGATGCTGGGTCGTTCTGTCCAATGTTCACGCAGATGGCCAGGAGGTGACAGCACAGCAATGGATTCTTGCATCTATCTGTGCGGAGATTTGAATGTCAGCGCCTCGTATTTCGTAGGGTTTCTGCAGGAACTCTGATTTCCTCCTGCGTGCCAAACTGTCATTCATTGAATCGAACAAACGTCCCCAATGCAGGAACTTCCCGATTGCGAGTCTCGAGGTTGAGTTGAAGATGCCCTGGGCAAAGAAGATAATTATTCCGTGCACTTCAATAGAATCGTGGCGCTTTCCCGCCCTTTCGTCGTTTCAGTTTTCAGTTTCATTTATTTGGTATAGCCCTGTGAGCCATTCGGCTCTTGAATCGGGTGCAACCGCAACAATCGAACATATGAACAAGAAAACAAGTGACTACGCGCAAACAGAAAAATACAGGAAAAAACAACAAAAAACAGCTAAAACTTCCAGAAAAAGCATGGTATACCAACGCTGTGTGCAAAAAATCCCAGTGGAATGCAAGTCAAACAACAACAACCACAAGACAACTGAGATTAAAGCCATCAGTCTACCGCCGTACTCCAACAAACAAACATGGCCAAACCAAAAAAGTTTTTGAAATCACCAAGCCATGAAAGCAATGTAACAGTGATCATAGGAACTGTGACCGAAATTTCACAATAAACAACATGAACAACATGTATCACCCATAGCTGGCTGCATGAGTCACTCCACAACAGCAGGAGCATCAGTAGGAGTATCAAAAAATTTCAATGCACCTTTAAAGATCAGCACACTAAATCAAAACACAAGATCATACTTTTGCAGCGGTCATCCGGAGCGAAACATTTGATTTTAGGCCACTGAATAGCAGTGGCGGCTAGGGGAAGATTCCCCGCGGTGGCGTCCGCCAGAGGGCGCTCGGAGCCCGATGACCCAGAATGGCGCGGCGTTTCCATGGATCCTGCAGGGACCAGGCACTCAACACTCCACAGGCAGTGCCGCATTATCCCAGTAGCACAAGTAGCTACATATGCTAAGGGGCCCGCGCTAAATGCTTTCAAGCTATCAATTCCGGTTCAGTGATTCTGCACTTGCTCTATTACTATAGTACTATACCGCCTTTACCTTTTATGAACGAATGTGTGTTTAAGGTGAGCGATTTGTCGTATTATCTGGCTGTATAGCAAAGGAAAAAATACAATTACTTTATTATGCAAGTTAAACATTAGCGTTTTCATATTTATTTATTTAGGGCCCCTTTATAACGTATGCCACAGGCCCCGCACGAGCTTAATCCGGCACTGTCCACAGGGTCCCAAATGTTTACCCCACAGGGATAGAATCGAATTAAATAGGTTTGTGGGGCCCCTACCCCCCTACTGAACAGGAGTACCCCCCCCCGTAAGAGACAGCTCCTCGGGCTGACTGGAGAGTCGGAAGAATAATGACCTATTAATCCAGGAAGCCACACTAAGACGACGCACTTTTTTTCAAGAGGATTCTACATTTTGGGTTTTTATTTTAAGAAGTTTTCATACAATTAATGCGCTACGGTAATCCATCAAAGCCAATTGCGTCCGACCAACATCGCCACCACTTTCTTCCGTCTGCCAGATCCAACAGCGTTGACACAATCGACACCTAACCTCTAAGGGGCCGTCCATAACGCGATTTTGGACGATTTTTGACCCCCTCCCCCCCTTCGTCACACGACGTCACAAAAAGTCAGACCCCCCCTCAAATATGACGTCACAAAGCTCTGCCCCCCGCCCCCCCCAAAAACATGCTTCAAATCGCTTTAAACTATTGCCATCGTAGTGCGTATTTAATGTGCCGCTGCACTCTGATGTTGTAGGAGAAAACATTTATTAAAACGTCTATTTAATTAAGTAGAACGTGTTGTCTATATATATTAAAAGTTGCGCATTTTTACGTGAGGTCACATTTCTCAACCTCCCCCCCCACCCCTCGTCACACATCGTCACAAATGTCTGACCCCCCCCCCCCCCCCCCCCAGGTGCGTGACGTCATTTATGGACGGCAGACTGGAGAGGTCTCGGCTGCACTGAGACCACGCAGCGTCCACACGGGTGTCCACACGCGCGCGGTAGCCAGGGAACGAATGACCCGGGCAATGACCCCAACTTTTGTCCTGACGCTGATCCCAATGCTGACCCTGTAGTGTTTAGACGTGGTGGGGGGGGGGGAGTGGAGGAATTGCACGGGGTCTTCTTTCGTGGGCTATTGTGTCTCGCGCTTCTAATAGAACAATACAATTAGACAACACAAATGTTGGTCTCGTCGTGAGCTTGGTCTCTGTAAACATATCGCTGGCGATCAACTCAGCTGACGCGTTTAACGACGTCGCTACGTGACTCAGTCATTGGCAGCTGCACTTGGAGCAACACGGACTTCAACGAACTCTTCTGGTTTCAGTACGGCTGGAACGGAGTGCGCCGAGCTACAGAGAGAGGGGAGCTGCATCCCTCTTCAAACTGCACAATTCCACGCATGTGCACCTGCACCGAGGTGATGACGGCTATGGTGATGGGATGGGGATAATGATGGGATGGTCATGTGGACGATCGCAGGTCCAACATACGGAGCAGAGTCCCAGTCCCCCTGAGACACAGATACAGCATCCAGAGACACGAGGCAGACACGGGACACAGCACCCAGGCCGACAGAGACGCATGAGCCACAGCACCCGGAGAGACACAGAGAGACGCAGTCTCCACGAGACAGAGCCGGCATTCAAGGAGAGAGAGAGAGAGTCTCCGTGAGACACAGAGACAAGGAAAAACCCAGAGACACCAGCGCCCGTGTGGGTCAGACGCCACAGAGGCACAATCTCCGCCAGACACAGAGACACAGTCTGCGTGAGACAACGGGCAAGGGCTGTTATCGAGCACCTATGAATGCCGGCACGGTGGGCGGCCAGCACCACGCCCGACCGCCTTTGTCTCCCTAGTGGCGATGATTTTACACACCACACCAGGTACTCATTTGAGGCCGAGTCGACCTTGGGGAGGCACAGGACTGGTTCAGATAATCGTCACTGGCGCTGGCCGCGAGCGGGAATCGAACTCTTGCGGCGGGTTCGTAGCGCAGCGCGCTCGCCACACAAAGACAAAGATCCCCCCCCCCCACGTATAGCCTGTAACAGACTGTTGGGGCAAGTGCTGTTCGCGAGCAGCGCTAGTGAAGGCCGGCACGGCACACGAGGGGGTGGTGGGTGGCCAACACCACCGCATCTCCGCACACCCCCACGTCCAGCAGCGGGCGCCTCGCATCAACAGTAGCAGCAGCACAACAAGCAAAGGCGAGAGACACACACACACAGTGAGTGGGGGGGGGGGGGTCTCTCTCTCGCCGCCTTCGCAGCGCGCAAGCGCCACCTCCAACCCCCGTGCCCACGCAGGCTGACAAAGCTCGCAGGCTGATACAGCGCACGGGCTACAGCCGCCAGCCACAGCGCTCGGGCAGCAGCAGCAGCAGCATGCGAAGGCTCGTCCAGGTCGAGCGCGCATCCTCGCCGCGCCATCAGCGAGCTTCCTGCATCAGCAGCAGCAGCAGCAGCGAGCAATAAAACAGCAGCAGCAACAGCCACTCATCTCGCATCCGCAGCGGCATACGAAGGTAGGCGACGCAGAGGATGCGCGCGCCAGCTACGTGCGTATGCATCGGCGATGCGGCGTGTTGCATGTTAGGCTTGTGTGCGCGTCTTATAGCGTCGAGTGCGCTGTGTGTGTGCGCGTGTGTTCGCTGTGTGCACGAGACATGCTGTCCGCCCTGCTGTTTACGCGCGCGCGCGCCTATAACCGCCCGGGGAACGAAAACAATGACATGCGTGGAGGTTCGAAGGGACTGGTTATAATCCCACGCAGAGCTGTGCTTCACCTTGATGTTTGCACCGCGCTGTGTGCGATTGATACTTCCGAAGCAACGTCGCATCATGATCACAGTTAGAATCACATCGTCGTCTTCAGCTCTCTGTCGTTCATCCTGTCGTCGGGGTCTTCACCATATCATCATCAAATCACAATCGGGTTTCGGATGTTTATATAAGCAGTACAATGGTACGTGTATTTGTATAACCTCCGGTCGACTCGGCACAAAGTGTCGTATTATTGTGGGGTCTAACGTGTGAATGATCTGTCTGTTTACATGGGTGTTTGTAAGCAGCTTATGTGTAATGAATAAATAACTAAAGTATGTATGTATGCCGCTGCGGGGTTTGTCGCTTGTTAAGAATCACCCATGCCCTTGATGCGCAGGACGTGTACCACGGTAATTGATAATGTATTTAATTATGTAATACATTGTGCGCGGCAGCATTGTATACGACACATTCATATCACCGTGACATTCGTATTTTACATTGGCATTAAATATGAACCATCTCTCTGGCAAGTGCCCCTGGAAATTGCTATAGAGGGGTTCCACGCAGTCGTGGTACAATGGTAGTGTTGTACCCTTGTTATGTGGCTGGCGCTCAAAGGGCTTAATTTCTCACTCAATATTTTCTGGGAGCGCTGCCGATGCTGGCTTGGAGTAAGGTATTATCGGCGTAAGGCACTTCCACTAGAGTACAAGCTAAGCCTATCCATATTAATCCCGTAGGTTTAAACATAGAATAATGAGGACAAAATAAGGCGAGATGGATGAGGCTCGGTGCCAATATAATTCCCGGAGCAGCGCTGTGGACTATTCCGGCTGAAATTAAACACTGCTTACAATGGGCACTCACAGTGAGTGCGGGGCCAATTGACCCATAGGAAAGCCACACGGTGTTGTAACTATTGTACGGTATGGGGTAATGCCGATGACATCTCCCGTAATGCGCCCGATCTCGTGAAATGTCTTAAGGTAAGCGGGATTGAGCCTGGATGTTGAATGCTTGGGACGGGTGATCACCACAAATGAAATAGGTGTTGCAGGCTACTGCGAGACTACGTTGCCAGCAGAGGGCAGTGCAGGCAAATTATTCGTTGTACTCTACTTCTATGCTCCCACGTGTATTGCTCCTGGCCTTCACCAGCCCGCAGTGGCCAGCGTGGTGAAGCATGGTCAAATAATCACCACCACGACCTGTACGCCGTGGGGAGGTTCCCATCCAGCAGTGGATTGATAGAAGGGCTTTTACGTGGTAGGGTATATTATTCCTACCGCGTCAGCTTTATGATTGAGCATACGGATAATTTGGGTAAGTGCAATGTTCTGGCTTTGAGTGTCACTGAAATCCATTTAGATTGATTAAATTGTTGGACCTATGTACTGAAAAAGAGTGGCTCCGCGTGGTGGCTCTTTGTGAGTAATGGATAACAGCGTCTATACAATGTTGACGTTATGCTTGTGTGTCTACCTGTATATTACATTCATAATGACTAGAAAGGTGAATGCCACCACATACACAGACATGTACTGGCTGTATAATTGTACGTGCCCTAATAAGAAGAAGTGAAAATGTTGACTGTAATATGTTTCTCAAGAGTTTGGGGGAAACGGTGTTGACACCGTGACTTTCCACTTCTCTTTGGTAAACTCCCTGGTGTGTTGCTGCGGTGGCGAGATGTTAACTATTTCGCCTTGTATACAGGAGGTCGTGGGTTCGATCTCGACCCTAATGCCTGTATATTTGGATTTTGTACGTTCTCTCTGTGATCGCGTGGATTTTTCTCTGGGTCATCCGGTTTTCCCTCCACATTTATTAACGTGCTTTTAGAGGATTTGGCTGCTATAAATGTCCACATAAGCCATTTCATTGAGCTATCATTTGTAGACAAGTCGCTTCTCAAAAAGAGCTATACACATATAGCTAAGTGGGCGATATGTGTATATAGTTTTAGTTAAGTTTTACATTTGGAAAAATACGTTGAGCTATCATTTGTGACCAGGTTGCTTCTGAAAAACTATATAAATGGCTCAGTAGGCCTGACTTGGTAAAAAAAAAATTGTGTCGACTTGAGAAAATCACTAAACATCATGTTATTTTCACGAATTTCAGTCGTCCATCTTTAGTTGACTTGCTCTGTCTGTGAAGATAGTAGTGGCTGTCCTATGGATGAACTGACCCCTGTCACAGGAATGTGGAATTTCCACAATTGGCTAAGGGCTGCCATTTGAAACGAGAGCTGCCTAATACTTGTATTGGAAACTTGATCAATCGTGACTACGTTTATAAAGCGCCCTGAATAGGGCGTTGTCGAAATGACCTAATCTACAATAAACAAACACAAACTCTCATCATCGTGTTTTGGGCCAAGGTCAGCCTTTTAACACTTGCACCGGGTAGTGCGTCTGCGGACAGATAGATCCGACTAGTTCATCACGGAGATGACAGATGGTCCTGTCATCTCTGTGATGCATGCAATGGTCCGTAGTTTATCTTTCAAATCGACTCCAATTAGTGCCTGCTTCTTCATGGCAAAAATAACAATGGCACACATCATTAACATAACCTTACTGTAACCAGTTATACACTTACATGGCTCATTGTGAATGTAAATACTGCACAGTAAATGCTATATTTGACTTTTTGTTGTGTGTCCCGTAAATATCACCTGTATGTTGTAAAAACAAAAACATGACGTGCATGAGTAATTTAACCTCTGATCAATACAGTGATGTAACCAATGCACTCGCATGCCATGTGCAGCAACATCATCATCATAGTGTGCCCTAAGAGGAGTGGCTGTCGCAAGCCGTCCATTTAATTTGCAGCGAACAGCTCAAACCCACGGATTAGTCAAACATTAACAGACGCGTGCAGCCTGCTTCAATCGCTCGCTACGCGACGGGCTGGGGACGCGTCCTCCCGCCGCTTGGATGCAAAGCAACTCACTAAAGAACCGGGGCACATGGAACGCCGCCGCCGCCGCATTTACAAACGGTTCCTTAGCACTCTACAAACACGATTGGTCAACACCGAAAGGGCTCCACTCAACACCTACTTACGCCGCCACCGCCGTGGCTAAATCCTCGCCACTTGACCGGGAAAAGGGGCCTCACTGGGCTGAGCAGTGTTGGTTGGCGATTGGTGAAAGTTGAACTCACACCGTGGACTGGGGATTGAGAGTGAATTTTAATTTACAGTCGATGAGCATTCTACTTCGTGATTCTCAGAAGACGTCGTGGGTTTGTGAGTCCAAGGCTGATCCGAGCTATTGCATCTGTGAAAAGTTCACACAGAAGGCACTGGCACGCTGTTTCTTGTTTGCAGGCTCAGGCAAGTAATAATTTACAGCACTTCCTGTTGACTGCTGACTTCAAATTCCTCTAAATTAGATCTTTACCCGACTTTCCTTTGCTTTGACATACCAGGCAATCAGGAGCGGCGCATGCTCATGCAAGGTGTAAACGTTGCTCTGCTTGTGGGTCTCGGTAGCGTTTTTAATCTGAAGAGTCTCTAGTCAAGCTCTGAATGCTCTATGGTCTTGTGCCAACGTTGTTTAGCAACAGTTGCTTATAGCAGCTAATGCCTGATCTCATTTTGCAGGATTCTTTCTTTAGAATTCTAGTTTTGGATCTACGCCTTTCTCCGGACACCGTCGAGGATGCGACTCGTCACGGCCACGCGGGACTCCTGATGCTTTGATCCTCGACCGGGACGAGGAGGAGGAGAAGGAACGGAATCTTGAGAATCGCCGCAGCCTCGTGGCGACTTCGCGAGCCATGGCGGCACCCCAACGCACGCCGCACCTCGTGGGCAAGAGCGACCGCAACTTCCAGGACGTGATGCAGAAGTTGCAGGGTGAGCAGTTGCGATCGAAACGTCGTGATCTATTCCTTTTTAAATCCTTTATATTAAGTTCGCTTGCTTGCGTGCTTGCGTGCTTGCTTGCTTACGACCGGGCAAATCTTTCGGTCGTTTTTTAACCCACTTCCCGTGATCCAATCGAGCTGACATTTTGCACACAGACTCGTTGTGCGTGACAATAAATTTTCGTGAAATTTTTTTTCCAAAATTTTACACTGTTTAGGGAATTTTTTTAAAATATTTAATTACCAATTGCTTAATGCTGGCAGACAATCATCTGACCCATAGGTGGCAGCCATCTCAAGCCAGAGGACGAGAGGACTCTAGCCGCCACGCATATAAAGGATTTAGAGTGAAAAACTTTGTTTTTACGGGTTAATTTTTTTCTACCTACGTGACTTTACCGAAAGAACCAAAGAGTATGGTGAGCAAATGGTTAACGCGAGCCCGGCGGCGTCAGCACTGCGGCGTTCCTGCTCGCGCCGTGATGTACGGGCATCATCAGTTATTCCGCGTCCTATCGCTGGGAAAAAGGACCTTCCCTTGCATCCTCTCCTTGAGAGTAATGGTACATTAAAGATCTATTGATTTTCATACGCATGTATTATTTACCAGAGAAAAAAAGTACAAATGAAATAAAGGGGCTATATTAGCATAGTGCACAAGCAGGATGCGCAAGGCACGTCGTGAACACTGTATATAGCTGAAATATATACATGAGGTTGACGCTCCGAGCACTGGCCCTTGTTCATAGAAGAGACATTAGCTGACTCGTAGTTGGAGATCACACTCGCTTTGACCCTCACGGTATGAAGTGTCATCTCGAGCAACTTTGTCAATCTGTCTGCCCTCTGCTGTGATTGAGAACTATTGCCTGCATCATTGGCCTACTACTGCGCTACATAGACTTCCCTGTGATAAGACGGTATTAATAATGAATGCAATGAGTTATTGTTTCTTTGATAAAGGAATTATCGTGAATAAATTTCCACTGTATGCACTCGTAGTGCATTCTAAGATGAAGCTAAAATACACAACTCTATTTCTACCTACGTGACTTTTTTTGTTTGCAGAAAATAACCGTCCTCTAGAAAAGTTTGGAGGAAGGATAATTAAGGATTCATTCCAATTTATCCAAGCCCATTGTCAAATTGACACATTCATAAGTGAATAATCGGTCATATCCACTTGTGAAGGGTGCAGTTCGAATGTGAAAGTGCACAACAATTATTATCGTATCGTGGCTCTTTGCAGACAGATTCACATATATCCAAATCGAATTGAAATTTGGCTGCTATCGGTGGCATCTGATGATAGTCGTATTTATAATTTCCTTGCCACTGGCGATATTAGTTAAATATAGACACGTGCCTTTATGAAAACATTATTTATGAACTCCGCTCCAAATAACTGGTTTTAATAGGGTCACATTGTTTTGCTGGAATTGGCCATTAATTGTTAAAATATTTCCATCAAGGTCAGAAAAAATACACGAGCTACGCCAATTAACCCCAATTTCCCCACACCTCCGATTAGCACGGTTGGCTACGTACGGCGCGAAAGAAGTTCAACATACGCAGATACTCTATTTGGCGTACGTGTACGAAACTTGAAATGCCCGCAGCAATACAAGCCTCGGTCGCGTTGCAGCGCGACACCGAAGTGACGAGACGGGGAGCCAAACGCGCGCGTGCGAGTCGAATTGGTTGAATGACATTCCTGAGGATGCCCCATTACTGTGCACGGCAAACACAGAGCCCCCCCACCCCCACCTCTTCCCCTGCTTGGCACTGCGCCACTGTGATGTGTGCACATGGTGGGGTGGGTGGGCTTTGTATCCACCGCTGCGAGCAAGCAGGGACTTGCCACCTAGCCGCTCGCTCGTCTCCCCGGCCACACCGCGTGCGACTCAATCGAGGCCGTTTCCCGGAGACCGGAGCCCGACCTGGCGGATTTGCCCTTCCCCGGCTGCACGTGCTCTTTCTTGAGAGACACTTCGCTCGCAAGGGCTCAGTGTGTAAATGAAGCCGTCTCTTAGAAACGAGCATTGTTGTCACCTGGCTGCCATGGGGACGAGGTTTTGGATGGTTACAATCAGACGCGCTAGTAATCGCGTTTCGGCTTGAGCACGGCCCGGTGTTGTTGGCTGTTTGGGATTAAGCACAAATGCGGTGATGCAAGCAGACGGTGGTGTACTTTGGATTCAAGCACGACCGTGCATTATTACACGTGCATATGTACAGACCCTTTTGTCAATCCACTGCTGTATGATGGCCTCCTCCCAATGTCATACGGGTCGCGGGGGTTCATTTGACAATATTTAACAGCGCTGGTCAATGTGGGTTAATGCAGGCAAGGAGCAAAAACGTGGGGGCATAGTACAGTACAATGTATTGTGCACTGCTCCCTGCTGACAACATAGCCCAGCAGCCTATAACAACCCTGCCGTGCATGGTGGTCATGATCTTCAAAGCACTCGATCCTACTTCGCTTCCGAGATATGATTTGGTCAAAGATCATCACTACAATGCTGAGTGTGACACACAGCGGTTGCCTTGGTGAAGTTGGAGCACTCGTGTTCGCGCGATGGAGTGCACATCCTTCAGGCAGTTAAGTGCGATGTTCACACGCTTAAAAACAACCTGAGTTGTAAATTGCAATCGAGAAGTTAGTGTCATTGGAGCAATTCACGGGGATGTTTATGTAAGCAAGTGATTGCTGTTGCTTGTCTCGGAGTTCAGTGATTCCACAGCCTCCCATGGCCCTGTGTGAGACTTAAGTGACGTGGAGCAAGTTGCCACCTCATCCTGCATCCGAATAAAAGCCCTGTGCCTGCGCGTGTGTGATGAAAGCTTGACAAATGGCCAGAGCTTAACAGAGTAAAGGGTAAAATTCAAAGGCATCATAAGCATACATAAGCACGGTCGTTTCACTGATCAAATATATTGCTTCAAACTCTCCCAACTCATTGAGTTGCCCCTTGCTGTAAATGATTAAGATCCAGTAATGGGAAAATACATTTTCAGATTAAAAACTAACGAAGCAAGTTTTACGAGGCTAGAGTAGAGAACGTTCACATGGCAGGCATGTGTGTGGGCATACACTTCCCCTATTGAGACAGAATTCAGGAAAATTGAGAAATTACCCAAGTGTACGTTAAAATGCAAAAAAAACAAGGAACTTGAGAATGTAATAAAAACGTCCGCCGTGATAAATGAGCGTCGGACACACATTCGAAGGTATATCACACATGCTGTCTGGATTGCTGGATGTGGCTGGTGAAAGCACTCGATAATTTGCGGACGCTCGTGAAGGCAGTCCCCTCGTGTCTGCAATCGCACGTGCCAGGTGAACTCGGTGTGCAGCCACAAACGTGCGGCTATAGACGGCCAGGTCACCGTGACATGTTCACACGCAAGGTGCTGCGCTGTCAAATCCTGGGAGCTGCACGGTTTCCCCCGAGATGCAAAAAGCAATTGTTATATCTCCTGCCGCACTCGGCGGCTGTCTGCTCCCCAGTCTCCGTGAGATGAGGGGTGGCATTTTTGTTGTTGTTGTTGTACCACATCACACATCAAGTCTGGGCTTAACATCCTACAAATTTGACGTAGCGGCGTTTAAGTCTGCCGCCGGCTGGTTCGTTCCTGTTGCTGCCGTGTGGTGTGGCAAGGTTAGTTGCGGTGGCAAGCGCTTTTGTGATCTTGGGGTGCCGACGATGAGTCCGCGGCCTCCACGTCAGGGTGGTGGAGCAGAGTTATGAGGTCCATCCCAACCACGGCGATGTGAGCGTCGGAGCGTGCGCAAGGCCTGAGATTGTGCCCTTCGTTAGTGTGCCATTTGTCGTAGTTCCAATTACGATGCATGGCCTCTGCGTTCAGTGAAGGGCACGGCAATCGTTGCTGGTTGGTGGTCGTGCAGCACTGTACTGTGCATCCTTAGAATAGTATCCTTTATAGACCTGTACGGTCCGATAAACTAAAACGTATACTATGACATATTACCGATATGGCACTCTCTACGGTATAGAGCCTGCATTCAGATTGGTATTTAAATGATCGTCAAAATTCAAAAAGGCCTGTAATGTGTTTGGTTAGAAAGAGGTATGTTTGCAGTGGCCCGGAGCGATGCACCGGAGCTACGTTGCATATTTCTTCTCTTCGCCGTAGCAGCTCTCACACAGAGTTTGATAGCCTAAGGGGGGAGTCCTTGATTTTCCACATCTGGCTCAAAAATGACTTTACGACGAAGCCACTTTTTGCATTAAAGCAGAATAACTAGTTCTACGGACGTCATCACTGATTGCACTTAGAGGTGAAATCTCTCATCATACCACCTGGTTTCAGTTTAACGACGAGCCTGGCACGTGCCGGGTGCGCTGTTCGTGCGAGTCGCCGTGCGTCGTGCCGCACCAGCTTACCGTGATATGCCACGAGCGTTTTGTGGTTTATTTTCTTTTGCTGCGGGGGGCGGGGGGGGTTGGGGGGCTTGGCGAGGTTGGTTGAGGCTTGTGGCCGGAATCTACTCGCCGGGCGTGGCTGCGGTCAGCGCTCACCGTTGACGCCCGCTCGCTCCGGGGAGCTCCCCGCGCCGCGCCTTTGGGCCCTCTCGGGTGTGAATGGCATGATATTTGGACGTGACGGCGCTGCATCGGAATTAATGCCGTGTCCGTGGGCGTTTCCCGAGTTAATCTGATGCAAACTTGGGAGTTAGACAGTTTTAAGGCCGCTGTTATAATTTAAGCTACAGAGAAAGAGAGAGAAACACATCAATTTGTTAGTTTGTCATTCTGTTGGTGTTTTTTGACATCTGTACGTTGAGCTGTTGCAATTATATTTAGCGAAGTTGCCTCGAGCAACGCTCTAGATATATGGCGGTGAAGGTGGCTTGTTTACCTGATGAAAAGAATGGTGGTTGTGAAAAAAAAGTACAGTTTCCACCAGTGTGATATTTCTTCAATTAATGCGCATTCCTTGCCTGGGCCTCGAGCTTGGAGA